TAAATACGATGCACATATTATCTAAGCAATACACAAATATTCAATAACAATTCAATTGCTTTCAAATTATATCAATAAAAATATAGATTAAATAATTTTAATTAAATATATATAATATATTTAATCGTATCTAAGAGACAACCCCAATGTAATTAAAAAATACAACTTCGTTTTTTATCAACATTTATAATTTGTTCATATGTGTATTTGATTATTTATCATAAACAAACTTCATATGGTTGTCAGTTATTTTAACCAATAAATATATAATTTATTTATTCATAACATGTTCACAAGTGTTTGAACCACAAGTCTTAAAATATTTATTCATATTCTTTTTATACTATATTAATTTTGTTATTATTTAGTTTGAAATCATGTGTTTACACACTCAAAATGTTTACATGTTTAATAATTTAATTCATTTTTACAATGAACATGTAAAGTATAAAAGTAAATCAAGTTATATTAATTAACATGATAAATTCATTAAAAAGTAACTGTATAATCATGTTATTATATTATTATTCAATAACAGTTGTGATGTCATTTTTATAATTGTGTTATTTGTGTGTGTAATCAGACATAATAAATTAAAAAGATAATATATATTAAATACCATTATTTACATGTTATTATCAACGATGAGTTATTTGAAAATAATTGATTTCTATGTAGTTACACAATGAAAATGGTCATACTTCTTTTAAATATATAAGATATATTCAAATATCAAAAATGTGTCATAAATAATTGTTCTCTTTGGTTTATGTTTACAACAACAATTACATTTAAACATGATTGTTAATTATTTAATTATCATTCCGTGTCTTGTCGTATTGGTAACTATGTGTGTGAATATCAAAAAACTACTTTTTTAAATTGAAATACAATTGTTTAAAAATGAATATTTGTAAAGAAATACAATTATTTTTTTGTTTACCAAATATTTTTTTGTAATCACTTTTTAACATAAAAAATAATTAATTAATTATTTTTTTATATTTATAATTATCTGACACACTCATTTCAATCTTTTTTTTACAAGTTCTTAATTATTTTATGTATGTTTTTGACTTCAACTATATATTGTCAGCCCAATCATTTTGATGGATCTTCAAGGTCACTTTTAGTTTTTTTATTAAAAAAAATAACAAAGAAAAATTATTTTTAATTATCATTATCAGATTAAATAAACTTAAATATATTAATATTAGTTGTTATAAAAAACATTTAAATAAAATAAATTTATTAATTAAACATCATTCATTTCATTAACAAATAAATTAATTAATTTTCACTTGTTATTTAAAACAATGCAAAATCAATTTGCAACACTTTCAACACTTTATGACAAAGTACGCGATGAATACACTACGTTTAACAACATGAAAATTGAAACAATTTTTGTTGACAACAAATCACTCTCACTTGCTCAAAGACTAACTAATACCGAAAAGTTCCTGGATCAAATTGAAGAAAAATTTTTAAGAAGACAAACCATTATTCAGTCTTACAACAATATTTTAGAAAAACTTGACGAATTAACAAAACAACTAAAAAGTAACTATAATGAAGTTTCGAAGCAATCTGAAATAGAAAAAGCTTATGAAGTTTTCAACCTACAAATATTATTGATTGAAGAACAATACAAAAATAAAATTGAACCATTTGAAGAACAAATCCAAATAATAAACAATGAAAAGGCGTCCATAATAGATGAAATAAGAAAGAGTAAAATGTATAGTATGTATTTAAAAACAACAGAACCACCTGTTATTATTACTCAGGGAGAAAAAGAGAGTCTTGAAATTTTATTAAACCAAAAAATAACAAATGTTTTATTCGATAGTACAATTGATGACTGGTCACTGAACAGTTCAGTGTTTAGTGAAAGAGTTCTGAACAAAAGCAACTTGTGCGTTTTGATAGAAGACACAAATCACAACAAGTTTGGTGGCGTGTTTAATGGTGAAATTTCTGATATTGGCCATTATCATAACGGTGGAGAATCATTCCTTTTTTCACTTGTGAGAAATGGCACTTTAAATCCGAAAAAGTTTAGAAAAAGTAACAATTATTCGTTTTATGAAATGTGTTGTTATGAACAGAATAGTAAAGTACTCTTTTCGTTTGGCTTTTATGACGATATATGTGTGTACAAGAAAGGCATTGACAAGAATTTTTGTAAACCTTGCACGTTCACTGCCAAACAAAATGAGTTGACTGATAATGATAAATTTGTAACAAAAAGTATTATTGTTTTTCAACTCAACTAACTGATAAAATACTTTCATGTTATTTGGTTACACTTTTAATAAATTGATTTGAAATATTAAATGTAAGTAAATGAAACTAAACTTGTTATATATTGGCTTAGAAAATCTTTGACAGTTGTTATTGTTTTTCTGTTATATAATCCAAAAGATAAATTATTGGTTTTGTATTTAATAATAATTGTGTGTATAATGTGGTCAATAGTAATGATTTAATTTGCTTTTAATGTAAAATGTAATGTCATTGTTTTCAGTGTGAAACA